TTGTTGACAACTTCTGGCTCTTGGGCACGCCCTGCGACATGATGGAGAAGATGGCGCGGGATTTTTTGGCAAGACTCCGAATACCTGGGTGGACGGTGCCAGTGGCAGATTGTACGTATTGCGCAACGGCTTCAGACGACATCCCCATGCAAATCACCACTGACGGCGAGGTCGTGCCGCGCGCTGGGAGAGGAGGGAGGGCTTTCAGATGCTGGGTACCAGCTTTACCATGGACAACTCGTTCGAGAAAGAGCTCGGCCACCGTGTGACCAAAGCTTGGGCGTGCTTCAGCAAATACCCCGGTCTCTTCACACACAGGCGGGGCTCTTTGAAACGAAAACTACAATTTCTCGACATGACCGCCAAGGCGATTTTACTTTGGGGCTGTGGGGCTTGGAGTCTAACTGTCCACCAGGAGCAGCATACCTCTGGAGTGCAACGGCGCATGATCACAACAATCTTGCGCATTAAGAAGTTGCCTGGCGAAGAAGTTGACGAATCTTGCGAACGAAGTGAACATCTTGTATCCAGAACAATGGGGCGATATCAGGTTGAACCGTGGGTGACGTCTTGGCGCCAGACATAGTTCGAATGGGCAGGCAAGCTGGTCAGACCAGGCGCGTCGGACATCCAGCGGGTCACCTACAAGGTCTTGAATTGGAGGTCAGTCTACCTCTTGCGCGACTTTGCGGCGAAACACTCTGGATGGCAAGGGCGTCCACGTCGGTTCTGGGCATGGAGGTGGGAGACAGAGGTCTTCAATTCTTTCAATCAGCAGGGGCTATCATAGACAGACGTGGCTCTCACCAGTGAGTCCTACCAGGCGCATCTTGAAACGTATCTCGCCTGGCGCAACCGACCGTTTTTTGAGCGAGGAGTAGACGCGCGGCGTGTCCCACGTGGACCTATGAACGCCGGTCCGTCCATCCATCCTCCTTCTCCTTCTCCTTCTCCTTCTATTTCTCCTCCTCCTCCTCTTCCTCCTCCTCCTCCTCTGGGGCTTCTGCGGAATATTCGCAAGGGTCCGGGCCTCCCGCATCATAAGGAGGGGCAACCTTCCCAAGGGCATCCTTGCATCCTTACCTCCTCGGCCCATCCTTGGCCACTTCCGCTGGCCGCGCCCTGCTCGAGAAACTTCGACATGGGCGCCCAAGACCCTCGCATCCCTATCACGCACCCTTCTGATACGGGCCGACTGCATCGCTTTCGTCTTCGACTCGTGTCGCGCAGGCGAGGGGGAAGCTGCGCGGCTTGCCGCACTGACGGCACAGGTCGTGCCAGAGCGAGCCGCTGCTTCCGCCGCCGCGGGGCGTGTGCCTGTGGCCGTGGCCCCGCGGTGCCGTTCTTTGGTTTTGTCCCGTGGTTGTCCCGGCAGTTCTCCCGACGGTTGACCTGCTGGTTGTCCCGATGGTTGATCCGACGTCTGTCCCGATGGTTGTCCCGATGGTTGATCCGACGTCTGTCCCGGTGATTGTCCCGGTGGGTGTCCCGACGGTGAGTCTGACGGTTGATCCAGTGTTTGTCCCGATGGTCGTCCCGGTGGTTGTCCCGATGGTTGTCCCGATGGTTGATCCGACGTCTGTCCCGGTGGTTGTCCCGATGGGTGTGCCGACGGTGATTTTGACGGTTGATCCAGTGTTCGTCCCGATGGTCGTCCCGGTGGTTGCCCCGATGGTTGTCCCGATGGTTGATCCGACGTTTGTCCCGGTGGTTGTCCCGATGCGTGTGCCGACGGTGATTCTGACGGTTGATCCAGTGTTTGTCCCGATGGGCGTCCCGGTGGTTGCCCGATGGTTGTCCCGATGGTTGATCCTACGTCTGTCCCGGTGGTTGTCCCGATGGGTGTCCCGACGGTGGATTTGACGGTTGATCCAGTGTTTGTTCCGATGGTCGTCCCAGTGGTTGCCCCGATGGTTGTCCCGATGGTTGATCCGACGTCTGTCCTGGTGCTTGTCCCGATGGGTGTGCGGACTGTTGATCCAATGATTGTCCCGAAGGGTGTCCCGACGGTCGTCCCGATGGTCGTCCCGACGGTTGCGCCGATGGTTGTCCCGAGGGCTGTCTTGTGTTTGGCTGCTGGTTGTTCCGTGGTGGTCCAGTGGTTTTGACCCGTTCCGTCCTTGTCCCCATTGTTGTCGCTTGGTTGCCAGTGGACAGTCTCTCTTTTTCCGCATCGTCCAACAACTCGTCGTCGTCAGCGGCGCCGCGAGGCTCGCCGCTTCTCTGGGCGTGCTGCTGGTGACTCTAGACAGCCAGCGAGGGCCCCTAGACATCCTAAGTACGCCCCCCCGCCAGTCAGCGGCGGAGGTCCACATTGTAGCATTGGGGAGACGGCGTTGGTCAAGCGAGTGAAGACGATGCCTGTACAACGTAGCGCAACTGTAGCTAGAACCTGAACGCACGCGAAGCGTGCGCGTAGTTCTAATTTTTGAGGATATGCTGTAAGAAAGTATGGATGGGGGAGTAGGCCGTGCTAGTGAGCCGGCCAATTGTGAGGAGGAGCATGGGGATGATGATGATGCTGATGCTGATGCTGATGCTGATGCTGATGATGATGATGATGATGATGATGATGATGATGATGATGATGATGATGATGATGATGATGACGAGGATGATGATGATGATGATGATGATGATGATGATGATGATGATGATGATGATGATGATGATGATGATGATAACGATGATGATCATGATAATGATTTAGATAATGATGATGATGCTGATTATGGTGCTGATTATGATGATGATGATGAGGAGGATGAGGATGAGGATGATAATGAGGAGGAGCCAGGAGGAGGAGTGCGACGACGACGACGACCATGACGATGATGATGTCGATGACGATGACGCTGCCGATGATGATGATGATGATGATGATGATGATGATGATGATGATGAAGATGATGATGATGATGATGATGATGATGATGATGAGGATGATGATGAGGATGAGGATCAGAGGGTGATGATGATGCTGATGATGATGATGATGATGATAATGATGAGGATGAGGACGAGGACGAGGATGATGATGAGGATGCGCAGGAGGAGGTGGGCCAGGAGGAGGAGTACGACGACGACGATCCTGACGATGATGATGATGACGATGATGATGCCGATGACGATGACGATGATGATGATGATGATGATGATGCTGCTGATGATGATGGTGATGATGATGCTGACTATGATGACGACCATGACGATGATGATGACGATGATGATGTTGATGATGATGATGATAAGGATGATCTTGCTGAGGATGAGGATGATGGTGTTGATGATGTGCGATGAGGATAAGGATGAGGGTGAGGATGATGATGGTGATGATGATGATGATGATGATGATGATGATGATGGTGACGATGCACAGGAGGAGGAGGCGGACCAGGAGGAGGAGTACGACGACGAAGATGAGCATGACGATGATGACGATGTCGATGACGATGACGATGCCGATGATGATGACGATGATGATTATGACGATGATGCTGATGATGATGATGATGATGAGGAGGAGGAGGAGGATGATGATGGGGAGGAGGAGGATGAGGACGAGGATGAGGAGGATGATGATGATCAGGAGGATGTGGAGAAGGAGGCGAATCGGGAGGAGGAGTACGACGACGACAACGACGACGCCGACGACGACGATGATGATGATGCTCATGATGATGCTGATGATGATGATGCTGATTCTGATGATGATGATGCTGATGCTGATGCTGATGATGACGAGGATGCTGATGAAGCTGATTATGACGATGATGCTGCTGATGATGGTGAGGATGAGGATGATGATGAAGAACATGAGGATGTTGATGATGATGCGGAGGAAGAGGAGGCGGACCAGGAGGAGGAAGACGATGATGATGACGATGCTGATAATGATGATGGTGATTCTGATGATGATGATGCTGATGCTGATGGTGCTGTTGATGCTGTTGCTGCTGCTGCTGATGATGAGGATGATGATGGTGACGACGACGACGATGCTGCTGCTGCTGATGATGATGATTCTGATGATGCTAATGATGATGATGATGATGATGATGATGATGATGATGATGATGATGATGATGATGATGCTCATGATGATGCTCATGATGATGATGATGATGATGATGATGATGATGATGATGATGATGATGATGATGATGATGATGATGATGATGATAACTGTGATGATGCTGATGCTGCTGCTGGTGACGATGCTTGCTTGCGTGCTTGCTTGCTTGCCTAATTGATGATGATGATGATGATGATGATGATGATGATGATGATGATGATGATGATGATGATGATGATGATGATGATGATGATGATGATGATGATGACTTGGAGGAGGTGGAGGACGAGGAGAAAGAGGACGAGGAAACATAGCAGAAGGAAGAGGTTCGGTTCGGTCGTCATCGAAGGCCCGAGTCATGCTCGCAAATGCTGGGCGAGTGCCGAGTCCACTTGGGCACGACAGTCGAATCCGCCCTTACAGCGGGCTCGTCTTGACTTCAGGCACACGAAGCCAGGCGGAAGGACATTGATATCACAAGCAATGCTCCAGAGGCCACAGATAAACGATCGACGTTCGCAAGACACACATGCGACTCCAGAGGGCACACGTACACAGAGCAAGCGATAGACGTCTGCAAGACACACGTGAGGCCCCAGAGGCCATCACGAAACACACGATAGAGACTCGCCCTCGACGCATTCATGGCGCCAGGAAAGCCACCTCTGTGATCCCAGCGGGGGGTGAACTACCGCCCGATGCTCCTCAGGACATGTGCTCGTTCAGGTGTGCGTCTGCCCCATTCGGCGCCGCCGATGGCACGCAGCCTGTGTCGGCCCTCGGCCCTCGTTGCACCGCCGGCGTCGCACCGCAGGGTTTTGGCTCGCCAGCACGCGCTGGCGCCAACGCGCTTGCCAAGAATCATCGAACGGCGGGACTGGCATTCCCCAGGGGTAGAGAGGGGCCCAGTCCTACAAATCTCCTCCTCCTCCTCCGCCTCCCTCTCCTCCTCCCCCTCCTCCTCTTCCTCCTCGTCCTCCTCCACTTCCTCCTCGTCCTCCTCTTCCTCCTCCCACCAAGGCCTACGCCCCACCCCTTCGGGGAGGCGCCTCCCGGAGCCCTGAACCCCAAATGAACAAGTTATATTGTTTTGTGAGAACAAGAAGGGGCCCCACCTCCGCCAGTCCTTGTGGGATTTGTCACCCCCGTGTGCTGCTTGCTGGCGTTGCCAAGATAGCGTGCGATGTGGCGATGTGGTGCCGTCGGCCCGCGTATTGCACGCTATTCCCCACCTTGGGGGCAGCGTGCATCGAAGAAGCCCTGGCAGGGAGGTACACAGCGGGGGGATCGCCTCACAGGGAGAGCGTGTTTTTCGGAGACCGATGTTGCAACCGTATACCCCGCCCATGTGGCGGCACCGACCACCTCGTCAGCCTCCAACGACGGGGGGGTGCCCCAGCGGCTATCGCCGAGCCGAGTTCTCGACGGGGCCCTGCTACCCAAGCAGAGGGGACAGGAGGAGGAGGAGGAGGAGGAGGAGGAGGAGGAGGAGGAGGAGGAGGAGGAGGAGGAGGAAGAAGCAGAGGATGAGCAGGAGAAAAAGGGATGAGGAGGAGGGATGAGGGAGGAGGGAGGTGGAAGGAGGGTGGACGAGGAGGACGCGATGGACGGAGGATGGGGGGATAGGGGGAAGGGAGAGCGAGGCGGATGCTCGCGCGTATGGAACCCGCTTTCCTCGAAGGGTCGCTGAAGCCGAACGTCATCCTGCTGCTGGACGCCTTCTTCCAGGTTGTGATCTGGCGAGGGGAGATGATCCAGGCGCCAGGGCGGCCAGCACGGGGCGGGGCCGGGGAGGCTCGGAGGGAAGAAGCTGCACCGAGACCGCTCCTCGTCCCCTGGAGAGCCCTCGTCGCCACGGCTGTCACGGAGGCCGCTGCCCATGGGCCGCTGAAAGCAGGCATTCCTGGATCCCCCGACTCCCATCCACTTTAAGGCGCCTTCCTACCAGAGTCACCCCAACGCACTAATACGAGGTGCTCGTCGACCCCCCAGGGGCGACGCGCGCACCGAGAAATCTTGTCGTAGATGCGTCGTGGCGGGCGCTTTCTGGCCGCACCGCTCGGGAAACGATATGCTACAAGATCGGTGTACTGCATGTTCGGGTCGGACGCGCGCCTCCAAGGACGACATATAGTACTAGTATGTCTCTGTGCGTCCCATCCTACTTCAATGCTCGAGTGGCTTCACCTTTTCCGTCCTCCTTGGGGGGCCGACGGAACCCAATCTGCTTTCAGCGCCTTCCTACTTCACGTTTCTACCTACGTCTTCCGACCGATCGCTACCCGTCCCGAAGATATTCTGGTCAGAATGCGCCCCAGGAAAGGTCTGGGGAGCAGCGGTATCGGTAGCTTTCTTCCCCCCTCTCAGGGAGGCGGAGGAGGCGGAGGAGGGGTGCAAGGGCCGCTGCCTGCTGCCCGAAGCACGAGGAGGGGCCGCCTCCCTCCCGTCCTGTCTCGACCGCGGTCGAGCACAGCTCGGCAGCGTTGGAGCGCTGGAGGACGAGCGCTCCTCCGGATGGCTTCGAGGGCCCGCCACGGCCCCGCCGCCAGCGGATGGAGGGCGCCAGGCCTCCTCGGCCGCTGGCCGCTCACTGCGCGCCTCTCGCGCCGACCGGGCCAGCGGGACTGCGGGCAACCTGAGCGCGCGTGTGCTCGACGTGCTCGACGTCCTCCTCCTCCTCCTTCTGAGCCTCCTCCTCCTCCTCCTGAGCCTCCTCCCCCTCCTCCTCCTCCTCCTCCTCCTCCCCCTCCTCCTCCTCCTCCTCCTCCTCCTCCTCCTCCTCCTCCTCCCATCCGATCGAGCATTCTGCAACGGGTGCGCCGCGCAGTGAAGCGCGGTCTGCGGAGCTCTCTGGGGGTCCTGGCGAGGGGGCAGACTCATAGCTCCAGGCAGAGGGGTCCCAGCAGGCCAAGGCCGAGTCCGCGCCCGAAAATGGTAATCATATGTGTGCATGTATATATTGATACACACATCTATATATATATATATGTTTGTGGAGAGAGAGAGAGAGAGAGAAAGTGATAGAGAGAGAGAGATAGGGAGAGAAAGAGAGAGAGAGAGGGAGAGAGAAAGAGAGAAAGAGAGAGAGGGCGAAAACACGAGAAGGAGAGAGAGAGAGAGAACGCGATATATTTTTATATTTATATATGTATATATATATATAGAAAGAGAGAGAGAGTGTGTGTGTGTGTGTTTTAGAACGAGAGAGAGAAAACCAGAACAGGGGTGAGATAGAGAGAGAGAGAGAGAGAGAACACGAGGAATATATATATATAGATATATATAGAGAGAGAGAGAGAGAGAAAACGATACAGAAAGAGAGAGAGAGAGAGATATAGCGAGAGAAAGAGAGGTGAGCCTGGATGGTGAAGTGGTCGTCACGGAAGTGGGTCTCGTTACGCAAGGGGATCTCGTCAAAAATGGGGTCGGGTAGGCCGTGCCAGACCATCATTCTTCTCCCTTTCCCTCCTCCCTTCCGCCCTCCCTGACGACGTTGCCCAGGCGTGGTACGACCAGGGCTACCAGGACAAAGAGGAGTACGCAAACTTCAAGGCGCTGCTGATAGCGCCCGCGGAGGACGCCAAGCATATTCTGAACGAGCGCTTCCCGGCGCCCAGGTTCATCCAGACGAACGCGGGCGGCTCGCAGGCTTGACTTCCGCAAGGATGATGATGATGCTCATACAGCTGCTGCTGAAGATGACGAGGCGGAGGATGAGGATGAGGATGAGGGTAATGATGATGATGCTGATGACGATGATGATCTTGATGATGATGACTATGATGATGACTATGATGATGATGATGATGATGATGATGATAATGATGATGATGATGATGACGATGACGATGATGCTGACGATGATGATGACGATGATGATGATTATGATGTTGTCGATGCTGCTACTGATGATGATGCTTATGATGATGATGCTGATGCTGATGATGCTGATGGTGATGCTGATGTTGTCGATGCCGCTGATAGATGCTGAGGGTTTTGATGATGACGATGATGATGATGACGATGATGATGATGATGCTGATGATGGTGTTGATGTTTATGCTGATACTGATGATGCTGCTGATGATGATGGCGATGATGATGATGGTGATGATGATGATGATGATGATGACGATGACGATGATGCTGACGATGATGATGATAATGATGATTATGAAGGTGATGCTGATGATTCTGATGATGATGACAATGCTGATGATGACGATGCTTATGATGCTGCTGCTGATGATCATGATGCTGATGATGATGCTGCTGATGCTGGTGCCGATGATGATGATTATGATGATGATGCTGATGATGCTGATGATAAGGATTATGATTCTGTTGATGCCGATAAGGATGATGATGATGATGATGCTGATGGTCATGATGATGATGATGATGATGATGATGATGATGATGAAGCTGATGCTGCTGATGATGATGATGATGATGATGATGATGATGCTGTTGGATGATGATGGTGCTGCTGACGATGATGATGATGATGATGATGATGATGATGATGATGATGCTGATGCTGATGCTGATGCTGATGATGATGATGATGATGCTGATGCTGATGCTGATGATGGCTGATGATGATGATGATGATGATGATGATGATGATGATGATGATGATGATGATGATGATGATGATGATGATGGATGATGGTGATGGTGATGGTGATGGTGATGGTGATGGTGATGGATGGTGAGGAGGAGGAGGAGGAGGAGGAGGAGGAGGAGGAGGAGGAGGAGGAGGAGGAGGAGGAGGAGGGGAAGAGGATGAGGAGGAAGATGATCATGCGAGGATGAGGACGTGGATCACTGACCAAACTGCCAGGTCTTCGAGCGGGCCGCCTTTGAACAGTCCTTGTGCCGAGCAGGGAAGTACTAGGGGGGGACACCCGTCGCCTGGGGAAGCCCCAACTCGCAGCCTGTTGCAGTTTGCTGCAAACGAGGTCGCACCCTGGCTAGCAACCCGCACTAGAACTGTGGAGGAGTGGAGCCCTGCACCGGGCAGTGCGGGGGCTGGGGCTGAGGCCAAATCTGCCCCCAGGGGCGCATGAAGATCCATCCCTCGCAGTCGGCGCCGATATCGCTCCCGCGCGGCACCGCCTTGAATGACTGGCCTGCCCTCGTCAGAGCGACGCCCAGGTGGTGGGGAACAGAGAAGGGAGGGAAAGGAGGGAGCAATCATGCTGAAGGGGAAACGCGCACCGGTCCAGGCGCACCCCCGAGGTGGCGGCGTGGCCGTCGAAGGATGAGGATGAGGATGAGGATGAGGATGAGGAGGATGAGGAGGAGGATGAGGAGGAGGGGGGAGCAGGAGGAGGAGGAGGAGGCGATAGAGACAGGTCGCAGGCCGGCTTCTAAACGACCACAAGGTACAGGAGGAGGGCGACGGTGATGGCGAAGACGAGGACGAGGACCCACATTCATCCATGAGGAGGAGGACGACGAAGATAGGTTTATGTCGTCGACTTCTCTTCGTCGTCGGCGTCGTTCTCCTGCCCCCCTCTCTTCCTGCTCGTCCCCCTCGTCGTCGCCTTTCTCCCACGCCCTCTCCTCCTTTCATGGGTCGGTTTGTCCCTGTACTCCCTCTTCCTCGTCCTCTTCCTCCCTCCCCCTTCCCCCCCTCCCTCTTTCCTTCCCTCCTCCCTCCTCCCTCCTTTTCCTTCTCCTCCTCAGTATTCTGCCCTTTCCTTCCCTCTCCCTCCTCTCCTCCTTCCCCCCCTCTCCCTTCCCTTGGGCCTCACTCGAATACCTTGGACCTCCCCCAAAGCCCCATACGTAATTCTCTGGACATCTTAGTACATCCCCTAAGAATCCTCTAATGCCCTCGTTGTCGTCGTCGTCGTTGTCGTCGCCGTTGTCGTCGTCGAGTCGTCGTCGTTGTCGTCCTCATCCTCGTAGTTTCTGTCCTAGTCGTCGCCCGCCTCCTCACGGTGCCACCCAGCTCGGCTCCTACCGTTGTCTCTTGCGGACCTCGCCGCGTAGCCGGCAGCATGAAGCCATTGTCCAGTATAGAGTGCAGCACGAAAGTTAGATCAGCCGTGTGAGACGCACAAACACGTTGGATCGAGCGACGCAGAGTAGATCGGGCTGGCTGCGCGGACACTCGCGCGACAGCTGCTTGCGCAAGGTCGCGCGCAGGCGCCCTCGTTCTCACGTGGTGTGCAATGTTGGCAGCCTGCATAGCCAGCGCGTGAGCCCGCCGTGCCCCTTCGCATAAGACCCCTGTCCTTGCGTCGCTCGGGTGGCTTCGAGGCGCAGCTGCACTTACGCAGTCTTGCCTCACCCACCGCCCTGCTGGCAGGCGCTGGTGCGCACCTGTGCTCCCACCTCTGGCCGTGGAGCATCGGTACTCAGCCCTACTGTTGAAGTTGGGGTTGGGGGATTGTTGGGTGGCAGGGCTGGACCTAAACGCTGTTTTGCTGGACTTCGGCTGTGCTTTGTCTTTCGCTTTGGCAGGCAGGTGCAGGAACACGGGGCGAGGAGCACGAAACACAAGACGAACACAAAACGGGAAACAGCGTTTAGCTTCAGCCCTGTTGGGTGGGGTTGGCGCTACCACGGCATGCACCGCTCGGCTTCCAGTCGGAGCCTCAAAAGAGGCGCCCCCGTCGGTGCAGTTCGCAGTCCCGTCGCTCGCCTTGGCCCATCGGCCGCGCGGGCTCCTCGCGCGGCGGCAGTTTTTCGGTCGGGCCTCTTCTGCCTCGGTCCACTGCTGGATCGTGGCGTGGCCCTTCATCCAGCCACGCTCTCGCGCTCCGTTTCTTTCGCTTATGAATCAATCTGGCGCGACCCCGATTCTAGGGGGGAGTTCCCCCAGCAAGTAAGGTAAGCAGGGGAGGCATTGCTTTTCTTTGCTTGGCATCACTTGGCATTGCCTTGCATTGATTTGCACTGCTTAGCGTTGCTTGGCTTGGCTTGGCTTTGCTTTGCTTGGCATTGCATTGCTTGGCTTTGCTTGGCATTGTCTGGCATTGATTGGCCTTGTCTGGAATGGATTGGCATTGCCTGGCGTTGCTTGGCATTGCCTGGCACTGTTTTGCTTTACTTGGTAGTGAGTTGCATGGCTTGGCATGTTTTGGTATGTGTTGGCTTGGTTTGGCATTGCTTGGCTATGCTTTGCATTGCTTGGCGTTGCGTGGCATTTCCTGGCATTGCCTGGCATTGCTTGGTATTGCTAGGCAGTACGGAACCCAGATGAAGGAATCCGAGGACGGCAGTCGAAATGAAGAGCAGGCAACCCGATGAAGGCAGTCAATCAACCAGACTTAGCAGCCCGCGGAGGGCAGTCAAGATGCAAGACAAAGAGTACTGCCAGGACGGCCGTCGAGAAACACGACCAGACAACCCGAGGACGGCAGTCAGGCAACGAGACCCAGCAACCCGAGGACGGCATGCCAGACAAACAGACCAAGCGACCTGGGGAAGGCAGTCGAGAAACCCGATCCACCAATCCGAGGGGGGCCCGCCGGTGCAGGCCTGGCACCCACCTGCTCGTCAAAGTCATGCAGTTCAGAACCCCTCTGTGCCAGGTCTAGTTGGGGAGTGACTCCTCGCTCCTCGCTCCTCGCGCCTCGCTCCTCGCTTCTCGCTCCTCGCTTCTCGCTCCTCGCTCCTCGCTCCTCGCTCCTCGCTCCCCGCTCCTCGCTCCTCCTCCTCCTCGCTCCTCCTCCTCCTCGAGAACGGGGGAGTGTGGAGTCGCAGGGGTTCAAAAGCGCGCGCGCGAGGCTTTCGCGCTGAGTTCACGACTGCTTCTGTGCAATCTCTGCGCGCTCTGTGTCGTCGTCGTCCTCCTTCTCCTCACTCCCCCCCATTGGCCCCTTTTCCTCCTCCTCTTCCTCCTCCTCCTCCTCCTCATTCTCCTCCTCCCCCGTTTCTCCAGGAGTTTTTTTGTTGCGTTGTCCCCCCCAAAAAAAATGGTCTTCCAGATTTTTTTTTTGGGGGAAGGAGAAAACAAAAAAAGGAAACGCCCCCTCCTCCTCCTCATCCTCCTCTTCATCCTCCCCCCCCTCCTCCTCTTCCTCCTCCTCCTCCTCCTCCACCTCCCCCTCCTCCTCCTCCTCCTCCTCCTCCTCCTCCTTTCGGAAGCTCGCATTCGCTCTCCACGAGACTCAGGGCTCTTTGCCCGCGCATATCGGTCGAGTGGCGGCCGCCTGGACGTGGCAATGGCAATGACAATGGTAATGGTAATGGTAATGGTAATGGTAATGGTAATGGTAATGGTAATGGTAATGGTAATGGTAATGGTAATGGTAATGGTAATGGTAATGGTAATGGTAATGGCAATGGCAACGGCAATGGTAATGGCTATGGTAGTGGTAGTGGTAATTGTAAAGGTAATGGTAATGGTAATGGTAATGGGAATGGGAATGGAAATGGGAATGGGACTGGGAATGAGAATGGGAATGGGAATGGTAATGGTAATGGTAATGGGAATGGCAATGGTAATGGTAATGGTAATGGTAATGGCAATGGTAATGGTAATGGTAATGGTAATGGCAATGGCAATGGTAATGGTAATGGTAATGGTAATGGTAATGGGAATGGGACTGGGAATGGTAATGGTAATGGGAATGGGAATGGGAATGTGAATGGTAATGCGAATGGTAATGGCAATTTCAATGGTAATGGTAATGGTAATTGTCATGGTATTGGGAATGGTAATGGTAGTGGCAATGGTAATCGTAGTGGCAAATGGCAATGGCAATGGCAATGGCAATGGTAATGGCAATGGTAATGGTAATGGTAATGACAGTGGTAATGGTAATGGTACTGGTAATGGTAATGGTAACGGTAATGGTAAGGGTAATGGCAACGGGGTAGCGACTGGCAATGGCAATGACAATGGCAATGGCAACGGTAATGGTAATGGTATTGGCAATGGCAATGGGAATGGGAATGGAACTGGCAATGACCATGGCAATGGCAATGGCATTGGTGATGTCCATGGCAATGGTGATGGTAATGGTAATGGCAATGGGCAGCCTCGCTTCCTCTCCCTCCCCCTCCCCTCCCCTCCTTCCTCCTTCCCCTCTCTGCCAGGGCGGCTGTACGAACGCGCCAGACCGCGTGAATTTGAGCTTCGCCTTTGCCTCCCCCTCACCCCTTGCCCTCCCGTCGCTGCTGCGTTGTGGCTCAACAGGGGCCCCGCTCACTCAGCGGGCACCGCATGGCCGCTCACCGCGGCTGGCCAGGTCACAGTCACAGTCGCCGATGCGGTGGTCTTGCCTTCGCCCAGGTAGGGCGTCGCGTCAGCTGGTCCAGCCGCATTGCGGACCAGGGCAGTTGATGTGCGGTATGTCGGCCCCTTCTTGGGGCCCTCCCGCTGCCCTTCTCCTCCTCCTCATACCCACCCCCTTTTGCATTTCCTCCCTCCCTTCCCTCCTCTCCTCTTCCTTCCACTTTCCCCTCTTCGTGCTTCTCTTCCCTTCCCTCCCCCTCCCCCGTCCTTTCGTCCGCCCCCTCCACATAGCCGTCCCCCAACGGTGGACGGCGATGGGGACGGATAAGGGGATGGGGGAGCCCCATCCCCTTCTCCCTCCCTCCCTCGCCTGTTCCTCCTCATCTTTTGGCCCCCTTCAGCCTTTCCCGAATTGAAGAGAGCCTCACACAGCGCTATACTCGACAGTGCTCGTCGTCGTCGTCGTTGTTTTTCTTCCTCCTCCTCTTCCTCGTCCCTCTTCCTCCTCCCTCCTCCGCCCTCGGATTTTGAGTCGCCGCCGCCGCCGCCGCCGACATCGTCGTCGTCGTCGTCGTCGTCGTCGCCCTCGTCGTCCTTTTCGTCGTCGTCGTCGTCGTCGTCGTGGCAGGCGCGCTTCCTCACGTCGAGGGTGAACCCCTCCACGACGCACAACTCGACGGCCGGGGGTTTCAGCAACCAGGTCGCCGAATCGTCCGTCGTGGTGACCGACGACGTGTCGCTGAAGGCGTAGGGGGGGGGGCAGGAAAAAGATGGAGGGAGAGGAGGAGGGTACAGTCGAGTTTGGTGAGGAGGTCGGCCCTGCCAAATCAAGGGTGCCCTTGTGTCCTGCGTGTGCGCGACCTGTGCCTTCCTTCCTCCCTGTGGCAGTGTGGCCCTCGGAAGGGTCTCGTGTCCTCCACGGGCCCCGGGGCAGTCCGAAAACGGCTCGGGGTGGAGGACTGGTCCTGGAGGAAGGCCCCCGGGTCCAGGAGCCGCTTCCCTCGGGACCCGCTTCCCCCATGCCCAGGGTCACGACGGCAGGGCGAAGCGGCAGGTTCGGACATCGAATGTCGAGGATCGAGCTCCTCGGGTGTCTGTGGCCAGTTCTTGGCCTCCGGAGGAGGGAGGAGGAGGAGCAACAGGGTAAACCAAGGATGCGTCAAAGATGCTGCAACACACCCTCCCGTCCCATGTTCCCGCCTCGTAAGTTCATGTGCGTATTCTCCTTCGTTGCGGGGAGTGCCTCCTTACAAGACAAACGCTCCATGGGGATGCCAGTCACACGACAGCCCTATTTCGAACATGGAACGCCTTGCATCCTTCAGTCCTTGTGGAGTGTGAGTACACAGGATGTCAATACTGATCAAACCATGTCTCCAGTGAGAATCCGTTGAACAGTCAAACAAGGAATCGCCTTCCATCCTTGCAGTTGTTCAACATGCTCGCACGTCAGGCCACACCTGACAAGATATCACACGCGATCATATTTCTGTTGCCCTTCTGCAAGACGTCTCAGCCGTGTATCTCATAACGACATGTCTCAAGCGAACGTTCCATTTTGAAGGGACCGCCCTCTCTCAGTTTAGCTGCTCCACAGTTTTTCATGTCTGGTCGTACACCGTTTCCAGGAGGTCCAGGCGATAACTGCGAGTCGAACATCAACCGCCCTCCATCCTTGCCTTGTAGTAATCGGGCTTCTTGGATCACGAACTTGCGAGGAGCTGTAGCGAGAACAGCTTTTTTTGAAAAATGCCCGTCCCTGTTGGAAATGTGTAAGGTGAATGTGCGCGACGCTAATGCAAGAACCACATGTTGAAAAGGACATGTCCTCCATCTTCGTAGAAAGCCGTTGGCAGCGTTACGACGAACGTTTCCGACGCTCAGAAATGCACCGCCTGTTGAAAAGGACCTGCCTTCCGTCCTCGCAGCCGATGGCAACATCTTCGGCGAGTGTGAGCGGCGCCAAGGCGAGAGCTACACCTGAATATCATGTGCCCTCTATACGTGTAGCAGTTGGTCATATGCAAGACGAACGTGTGAGACGCTTCGGCAACAGGCACACATTGAACACTACCCGCCCTCCATCAGTAAAGCTGCTGGCCATTCGCCGTCAGGAAGACTGAGGCGAAACGCCTGGCCCCGACAGGCTGACGAGGAGGAGCTATCCAAGAGGAAGAGGTGCGGATAAGGAGCCGGTGGAGGAGGAGGGGAGATGGAGGAGAAGGATGGGAAGGAACAGGACCAGGACCAGGAGCTGGTCGCGGAGGAGGAGGAGGAGAACGAGGAGGAGGGAAGGATTGATCGTGGATCTGAGGAGGGGCATCGCCGAGGAGGAGGAGGAGGAGGACCACGAGAAGGAGGATCTGTCTTCGATGAAGCCGTGCTTGGATCTCCAGCGCGTGCGTGTACGCTCTTCCATACGCAGCCTGGCTTCGCAGAAGTGGGTCCCTGGCGAGCGTGGTTGGACGGGAGAGCACCAGCCGTGGTGGCCGTGCCCTCAGCCAGCCTCCACGATCAACAGCTCGGGCTGCGCAATCTATCTTGACCAGATCAAGTGAACGCCAGTTACACCAACAGCGCTTGACCAGGTCTAAGTCGACCGAGACATCTGCCGTGCAAGGGCGGCTGCCACTCCTGATTGTACGCCAGCTTCTATTGCTTGCGGCCAGCCGTCGGGGGCCCACATCCCCGAACTCGACTTGCGCCCTGGAAGGTAAAGTGCAAGTGGTCACTGCGCCCTAGAGCAATGATCTGGTGCTGGAGCCAATCTACTACTACCACAGAGCCGCGTCTGCTGGGGCCTCTGCACGGACCAGCTTCCGGACATCGGTGGCCAGCGGGGTCCTTCCGCGAGCTTTGCACGTCCTATGGTGTGTGTACCCTCTCTTTCCTGCCTCCTCTCCTCATCCTTGAGAAGTGTATACAGTGTTTCGGCGTCCCACTCAGCTTTCCTTGAATGTAATTGTACAGGTGCGTCTTCAAGTTTTACTACTTTGTCGATGCGCCGTCAGGGCGCGGCTTCTTCTTCTTCTTCTCCTCCTCATCCTCAACCCTTGAGGCCCAGGTGTTGGCGTGGTAGGAACATCCCAGTGCGGAAGGAGAATGCATCTATCGTTTCCATCTTGCGGATCATTGGTGGGGTTGTTTCTCGTGGTTGAGTGCGAACACCGCTCCAGGCCCGGGCATGAAGAAGAGGAGGTCAGCATCAAGCTTCATCAGCAGTCGAGCTGTACTTGTTTTCTAGTCGATGGCCTCGAGGTCATTCTCAGACAGGTGTGGGTCATCAGGCATCTTTTTTAGCATCAGCATCAGGCACACTTGTGAAATGTGAGAAGAACTTGTTTTTTCTCGGAAGTCCTGGATTCCTCGAGATCCTTGTGCACGCCACCCGCTGACACGCAAGAATCATCCCCACCAACTCACGAGCCCCCACGGATCATGAGCCCTGGATGCGGGATCTTGGGTGACGCGTACCTGCCCGGACCCTGCTGAAATCAGCTGGAGTTTCCGAGGGGATACTCAGGCCCCCAAGTGCACCCACACCGGAGTCGTCATCGCATTCAATGCCTGCGCTGCGCTTGCCATAGATACGCACCACGCACCAGCTACTGCAGGACAGCGCAACCACAACATGTTTGAACCACCTGCCATAAATAATCAGGAGGAGAAAAAAACACAGACACGATTAATCGTTGATCCCCCAGAGAATATGGGAAAATAGGGGCAGTGGGGGGGGAAGACGAACACCTAAAACATATGGGGAAATATGGGGGATCTTTTTTTGTGCGTATTTATTTGTGTGTCCGCCGTCCGCAGCGGAGGAGGAGGAGGAGGAGGAGGAGGAGGAGGAGGAGGAGGAGGAGGAGGAGGAGGAGGAGGAGGAGGAGGATCAAATAAGCCCGCGTCCGCAGCGGCTCCTCTCGGGAGGGACGGGAACTGGGTCGGAGGGCCCCGCCAACGCAGACCCTCCGATGGACCAAACGCACCAGTGGCGGACCCGTTCGTCGTAGGGCCTCCGTGTGTGTGTGTGTATGTCTGCGTGCGTGCGTGCGGGAGAGCGAGAGAGGGAGAGAGGGAACGAGAGACAGAGAGAGAGAGAGTTAAATCATTCCTCCTTCCACCATCAGTTTGTTGTTTGTTGGTTATTGTTGGTATTTGGCGTTATTATTATTATTATTATTATTATTATTATTATTAATAGTATTATGGTTTTTCTATTTTTATTATTATCAATTTTTGTTATTCTTATTTTGAGTGTGTATATACAACAACAACATTCAAGGGTTGGGGGGGGGACCGCTGGACCCCTTCCCTCTACCCTCGTCTCGGGAGAACGCGGGGTGTTCGGCCCCCCTTGGCAGAGGGGGCGGCACGGGGTCCTCTCCAGCGCGCAGGAGGGGGTGTCGTGGCTTGGAGGTTGAGGGTAGGGCGTCAGAAGCAGCAAGGGCGCCCTCGAGGGCGCGAAGTTATTCGCGCTTCGCGGTTCGGCTCCGATTCGTCCTTTTCTCCTCCCCATACCCTTTGGGGCGGCGCGGCAGCGCGAAGTTATTCGCGAAGTTATGCGCCCTTGAGTAGGGAGTGTTAGTGCTCGTCTAGGGGCTACGGTTAGTGCTTAAGGTCAGGGTCAGGGTGTTAGGGTCAGGGTTGAAACCTGGGACGCTACGGTTAAAATCAGGGCGCTCTGGCTAGGATCCATGACCAGGGTTAGAGTATTCGGATTCGGTTGTTAAAGTCAGGTTGCTATGGTGTTAGGGTTCGTTCAACGATCCGGAGTAATGCTTAGGATTCGGATGTTTAGGTTTGGGTTTAGGGCAGTGGTGTCAGGGTTCAGGACAAGGTGCTCGGTTAGGGTTAATTCTTATGATCAGAGTGTTGGATTAGGGTTTAGGGTCAGGGTCAGGCTGTGAGGGTTAGGGTGTCAGGATTCGTTTAAAGGTCAGAGTCCGTGCTTAGGGTCAGGTTTGGGGTGCTCGGGTTCGGGTTAAGGGCAGGGACATAAAGGTTTGGGTCAGGTTGTTCGGGTAAGGGTTAAGGTGTTGGTGTTGCAGTGTGTTCCATGTGTGCTCCATGGACGGGCGGGAGGAGGAGGAAGAGGAGAAAGAGGAAGAGGAGGCGGAGGGGGCTCTTGGAAAGTTGTGTGAATTTTCAATCGGGAGTTATCAAGGATGCTTAGCTCCTTGAGGTTTTCATGGGGGAGGTGTACGGGGCACTTCCATGATATGGAGGAGAAGCGGGGAGGAAGGTGGACGACGGCGGGGAAGTCATAATGAGGTACAGGCTGAATACGGAGCAGCAGTAGTGGTAGTATCAGCAATCGTAGAAGGCATGGTGAAACGAAGTTAAGCGGAATAAAGATGGTCATGGTGATGGCGGTGCTTCTGTCAATCTTAGTGACGCTGACAATGACGATGACGTTGGGTTTACCGCATTCGTAGCTGCTGATGACGTGGATGACTATGGTGACGCGTATGCTGATGACGACGACGATTATCATTACGACGACAATGATGCTGCTGCTGATGATGATGCTGATGATGATGCTGATGATAATGATGACGACTATGCTGATGCTGATGAAGGGGACGACGAGGGAGATGAAGTTGCGCGTTCCATCAAGAAGACGAGGATACTGAAGAATATGAGGAGGAGCATGACGAGACACCAGAGACGGACAATAATGCTGATGACGATGATGATGATGACGATGGTGATGACGATGACGATGATCATTATGATGCAAATGCTGCTGCTGATGATGATACTGATGCTGATGCTGCTGCTGATGATGGTGGTACTGGTGGTGGTGATGATGATGCTGATGATTGTGATGGTGACGACGACGAGAATGACGATGATGATGCGGATGATTGCGATGATGATGCTGATGATGCTGCTGATGATGATAATGATGGTGATGAAGCTGATGATGATGACGACGACGATGATGATGATGATGCTGATGATGTTGATGATGATGATGATGCTGCTGATGATGATGATGATGATGATGATGGTGGTGATGGTGATGATGCTGACGTTGTTGTTGCTGCTGCTGTTGTTGTAGTTGTTGGCTGTGATGATGATGATGATGATGATGATGATGATGATGATGATGATGATGATGATGATGATGATGATGATGATGATGATGATGATGATATTGCTGCTGATACTGATGATGAGTTGGAGGAGGAGGAGGATGATGCTAATGATGATGATGATGATGATGATGATGATGATGATGATGATGATGATGATGATGATGATGATGATGATGATGCTGATGATGATGATGATGATGATGATGATGATGATGATGATGATGATGATGATGATGATGATGATGATGATGATGATGATGATGATGATGATGATGATGATGATGATGATGATGATGATGATGATGATGATGATGATGATGATGATGAGGGGGAGGGGGGGGTGATGTTGAGGATTGTGATTCATGATGCTGAGGAGGATGGCTGGGAGGGGTGTGCTGATGATGATGCCGAGGAGGAGGAGGAGGAAGAGGAGGAGGAGGAGAAGCAGGAGGAGTGAGTGAGTGAGTCAGTGAGTGAGTGTCGCCAGTCGCGAAGCGAGTCTGGATTTTGTTACTCACCCCTCCGAGCCCATTCGGCCCGACTGAGGTCCTTCGGCCATCGGCCTGAGAGGATCCGGTTCAAATAGTCGGCTCGGGTGAGGCTCGTTGTCTGGTGGTATTGCTGC